ATTTTATTTTTTTCTTAGTTATTTTATTATGTGCTAAGTTTATTTTATTTTTTTTTATCTCAAAAATTTCATTTGTCTTTAAACGCGAATTCAAAAGAAGAAGAGACTCAAGGAGACTGTGTCAGAATTTTCTGTGCAAGAAGAGATCTTGAAAGGAATTGACGGAATTACACTTCATACTACTTTCACAAGGAATTGAAGGCATGAAACCATACAAATTGTCAGTTAGGCAGTTTCTCTCTAAGAACTGTCGTATTTAAGGAATTGAAGGCATGAAACTGTACAAACTGTTAATTAGCCAGTATCTTTCTAAGAACTGTCGTATTTAAGGAATTAAAAGTTTGAAAATGTACAGATTGTCAAATTGGTCTTGTCAGTTATCTTTACCTAAGAACTGTCATGGCACCAGGGCGATTCACCCAACCGGGAAATAGATATCGCTGAACATCCCGCCCAGGGTCTTGACATTCTTTTTGTCATGCAAAACTACGGAGACTCAAATGTATTCTCGTATACATTCTTCACAGGTAAGGAATTAACGGTTATAGGCACTAGGACGATGCACCTCGCAAGGCACGATTATCGCTGAATGTCCCGCCAAAGGGCCTTGACCTTGTGTCATGCTAAACTGTGGAAATATGTCCTCAGATATTTTTGTCACATGATGGTTTTGTGAGTTATTCCTAAGTAACTCTCACTGGCACTAGAATGGTACACTCAGCTGAGATTTAGAAACCATTGAACGTCTCGCCAAGGGCCAAGTTAACTTGTTAACTTGAAAAAATGTATTGAGATCTTTGATCGAGGATATGCAGGGGCTAACATCAAAAATAGCCATGAGTAGTTCTCCGATACTCAACAAATCGCAGTGCGTTCCTCCGTGTTCACACAGATACTGCGAGTAGTCTCCATCTGAGCCAAGGCTGGGTCCTTGAACAACTGTGGTGAGAATGGTCTTTATGACTCTGTGATTCATAGGGACTTTTTAGTCATGGTTACTTTTCAAGACGCAACTGTGATTGACAAAGAATATTCATTCGGAGGAACAAGAAGTGAAGATTTTTTTTTAACACACAACCTTTCAACCCCAGAAGCAAGGTGAAGCTGTATTTGAAGTTATGTGTCGAATTGCATTGAATCCTCCTCAATCAATTTGTTGCTATCTATGAACTTGCTGAAGTGATCCAGAAGAATCGATCTCTCTGTAATTATATCTGAAGTATTTCAAAGCTAAAAATGCTGATTTTCAAGAACCTATACAAGAAGCCTCTATACCCACTGTGCGTTCAAAGTCAAATTTTAAAGGAAGTCCAACTATTCAAGATGAAGTCATTCATGTAGAAATTCATATGTTCATCTTGAAGTCGTAAAGAAATCGAAGACAAAAGCTGAAAGTCAAGATCAAAGAGAAAATTGAAAAGACAAGAAAACTATAAACCAAGGGGGAGATTGTTAGGACATGATTTGTGGTTTATACTTTACTTTACATAGCTTTAGAGTTCTCGGTCTAGGACCGAAAACACCATGAATTCGGTGCTGTTTGGACCGAAATCACCATGTGATTTCGGTAGGCTTAATGATGCTTTCGGTTGGGTTTTGGGCTGGGCTTTTGTAATTAGGTCTAGGTATATATAATGTATTGATTCATCCGTGTTCAAGGTTGGTCATTCTAATTAGCTGTTTTCGAGTTTAGAGAGAGATAGAGAGAACCGAGAGACATAGAGATCTTATGTACTAGACTATTGATCAATATAGTGTTCATTGAAGATTTGATATTGTGTTCTTAATTCCTTATAACTGGTTTGCGTTAATCATTAGATTGGGATTCCGCAGAAATTCTAGTGACTTCGATTGATACATTAGATCGGGTTTTACAAAGCTCATAAGTATAATTGGTATATACTTGAATTAATAGTAGCACAGTCCTTTTGGGTTGTCTTCACTCTAGCAACTTGACATGATGACTTTTGGGGAGAAGTTGAATTTATTATTTGGAATAATAAATTGATATAAATGATTTATTAATATGTTATGAAAATAATATATTAATTGGAAATCATGTTGTTTAATTAATATTTAATCAAAAATTAATTTGGAATTAATTTTGGGATTAAAGGAATTAATTAAATGTATAAGGTGTTGTTTTGCAATTGATTGATAGTTGTGAAATTGGGCTAATGGACTCCATGGAAGGAGTGGACGAAAATTATAGGGAGGACCTATAAGTTTTCGTCCAAGGCCTTAAGAATAGGAGTGCATGGGCTGCTTAGCCCTTAAGCTGGAATTTAGGATTTCCTCCAGCAAACCCTAGCTTTGGCTCTAAGCAACCAACAACTATATAAAGACCCCAACCCCTTAGGATTTCGGCCCCATCTATCTAACCCTAGAAGAGTCGAAATTTTGGTGCTATCTCCTCCTCTCTCCTCTCATCCTCTTGCAAAGAGTGTTTGTAAGCCATTAGAGGTGTCACATTTGAGACACTTGCTCTCAAGAGTTCAAGATCATCAAGGTTTTACTGTTATTGCTACATAACAATAAAGGTATGCATCTAAACCCTAATTTTGTATAGATTTCGAAATTTATGTTAGCTTCCTAGGGTTTCTCTTTTGTATTCAACATGTTCAACTAGTGAAAACCTAGATCCAAAGCAGTAAGGTTGCATAAACACATAGGATTTATTGTTGTGCTCAAAACCCATCACAAACTTATACTAAAACGAAATTACAATTAGGGGTTTTTAGGATAGAGAAGCAACAATGCCTTCAGAAGTGATCAACAGAAGCATCGCTTGGCTGTGAAGAGTAAACAAAAATCAATATTCTTGGCCATGTTTTGTACCCTAATAACTTGATTTAATTCCTATATTGATACTAAAAATTTAGGGTTTACCTTCTTCAATGGAGGCAGAGAAAACCGAGTGGAGGGACATGAAAATAGAGGGCGAGATGATGAAGAATGACAACGGGAGCAGGGCTACGACGATGATGTGGCTGATTCCTGAGCAGTGGCAGCCAGCATAACCGCTGGTGGATGCTGAATCGGTGATGGTGATGACGATAGAAGATTAGACACAGAGAGAAGGCGGAGGGCGACAGAGATACGACGAAGAGGAGCGGAAGGCGTGGAGATATGAGACTAAAACGAATGAAGATGGTATCACTCCCATTTCGAACCCTAGAACGGAGTGGGAGGTGTGCGACCAAGCGAAGACGAAGAGGTGGGAGGCGGGACATTTACGTGAATGAGAGACGAATAAAACCTAGCAAATGTTTTGGGGAGAGGGGAAGCGGGGTATCATTTTATGAGACCGTCCATTGAGAGGGAACTGAAAAAGCAAGTGGGAAAATATAATAGCGAGCGATTATGGGTTATTTTATAAAAAACATTAGTGATGGATAATTCCTTCGCTGTTCCCTATCTAATTCGTCGATAAACTATCGTTGATCCCAACCTAATATCTGCATTTGATTATTTTCCACTTAATATACTTTCCGTCGGAAACTTGTCAGAAATCCGTCGCTGATTCAGCTAGGGATTCAACTATATATATATATATATATATATATATATATATATATATATATATAATTTTAAATTTAATAAAAGTATAAAAATAATATTAAATGTTTCTAAAGATATAAACGAAAATTTCCATATAATATACCTACATAATTATTATAAAAAAATAAAAAAATAAACTAAAACTTAGTTTTCTATCTCTACCATCATTTTGCCAACAACGTTTGCCAACAACAAAAGAGTGGGTGGCCTCTTGCAAACTTCCAAACCCAAGTTCCCAATCCACCTTATTTGATGGGAGGACACGATTTTTAACCACCCACCCAAGAGATTTTTGAACCATGGCTTGACCTTCCCCATAAGAATTTTCTTTTAGTTATATTAACTAGAAAGATTCCCCCGCGCTGCGGGGGTTAAAGGGTGTTCGTTTGTAAAGTTGTTGCTGATGTTAGTTAGTGTTACTATGCACCACACTATGGAGGATACTAATATTTCTTTATAAAATCGTAACCGGATCTCAACTGCTGAGATTATTATGATTAACATTCATTCTGAATCTTTTGGCTCCGTAAAAGTCGACCCCATAGGCTCGTATCAAATGATAATCTGTAATTCATATTTGAAAGTTAAATCATGGAATTCAGAAAGAAGTTATGAAAGATATGGGGGAAAAGCATAGGTGAAGAATAAATGCAGAAGATGAAGATGGGGAAATGAGTAAAATATCCCTAAAAATATAAGTTTGAGATGCACACAGATATTTAACAGTCTATATATCTAACAGATGCATTAATTTGGATGGTTTTTTGCTTGAAACATTTGTTGCCAATGATTTCCATACATAAATGTATAAGTCTTAATTGCCAAATCGTTCAATAGCAAGTTGTGCACTATATGTACTAATAACAATTAAAACCATATACATCAATAACGGCAATATTTCAACCAGAGCGATTTGTATGGACCAAAAATGAAAGGAAAGAGGTAGGCGAAAGCCAAACACTACATAATTTTTTTAATTTCTTTTGTCTTTCATCATCATTCATATTATCATGTGATGACATGTATAGTTTCAAATTCCTGAATGTTAGTGGTGTAAAATCTTCTTGACTTAAAAGCAGTCAATGTACACATTCTATAAAATGCTTCTATGCCGACACTCTGATGACAACAACTATAAATGGTCCATAAGTTAGCTTTTTCTTCCTATGTGGTATATCAAAACAGCACAATTGTCCAAAAGCTGCAAGCATGTGTTTAATTATTGTATAAAGGAAGTTGTTATCATACTAAATCTTACAGAAAGAAATAGTAGGCACTAAATTATAGTATTTTATTTTAAGGAAACATCACTTGTGACTCGACAATTACATGGCCACAAACACAAAGCCATTCTGGTGTGAATTACAGCAAACATAAATTAATACATACCAGGACTAAATACTTTGATACATTTTTTATAGACCACTGATGTCACTCAATTAGCCCCTGTACAAGTGAAGAAATCTCTTATAAAGGGAAAAGACATAAATACCCCTATACAATTTGCCCAATTCAGTTCAGTCAGAACGTTTACTTGGCATATTCATGTCTTGCTTGGACATGATTTGGGTCAATGTGGAAGACATTCTGGCACAAGTTCATGATCACCTGTCATGCCATCAACAATTTTATCTGGTGATCCTAAAATATCCTTTTAAAGTCAGAAAGAAAATTAATGAGTTAACAAAATCAAAAGTGTGAAAAGTTAATAATATAATTTTTGAGAGTTATACTCTGAAAGAGAATTAATTGGTTTTAAAACATAAACAATAGAAATTCTTTTAAAGTATAAAATTTTCAAACTATTAAATTTCACTGCTATGTTTTCAAAAAATATCGAATATCAATAATACCAGAAGATAGTGTATTTGTGTATCTAAAAGTAAGGTGTCCATGCTAATAAGTATGAAAACATATGTCATCTTCTTTGAATACAACTATTAGCAAACATGACCTTCACTTGCACAATGTTCACAAAGGCCTGACAGTTACATGTGTGATTTGAAAGATACAAGTGTAATAGTCTTCCAACAGTTTAAGCTAACTAATCAAGATATTGAGATAATATGTTTACCTGACCAGATGCTACTGCATTTTGTTGGGCCAATTGTGGTCTCATTTGCCCCTGGTTTATCCTTTGTTGGGAGAGAGCAAGACACCCATTTGCCCTAATTTGAGAATTCAAATTGTAGGGGATGATCATGTTCATACCCATTTGCATTCCTTGCAGTGATTGAAGATACAAATATGACCATTCATCACCTGTATTTGATTATCCCAAACACAGTGGTTACGTCTAAATTGCCAATTACACTATAATTAACTAATTCTAAATTTTTTAGTTGTTGACAAACAAAAATCATTCAGCTGAACTATAACCTTGAACCAATAAAAAAATGCCAACAAATAAATAGGAAATAAAGAACCTTGATGAATATAAGGGCATTCTTGGTTAACCGACCTACAAATCCCTTTTTCATATTGGAATTCCTTTAAAAAAAAGCTGGAGACTGGTCATACTCGATTCCAAAATCAAAAACAGAAACGTCAATCGCGTAATTAAACTCTAAAAAATTAACCTACAGAAAAAGATTAGAATTTCAGAGGAAGGTGAGAAGATGGAAAGAAGCGGAACAACAGGCTGCAATCGTTGGGAGGGTGAACATTGAAATCGCTATAATCATTATCAAATTAGGATTTAGGGCATAAAAATACCGTAAGAAAGAAACATACCGGTGTGATTCCGACGATGAGGAATGAACAAAGGAGAGTAGATTCTCAACCTCGCTTCTCAAATCGATTACTGAAGTCTGATGATGTTACTCACCATCGATTAACTTTAAAATCGAGTATTGGAAGTAAGGAATCGGATAGGTTCCAGTCTAATCCCACATAACTTGTACCGACAGGCTGTGAGAGTGGAAAAAGTGCATGAAGATCGATGCTTTATGATTTTGAGGAATTAATCGGTCGAGGAAACGTGGAGACGAAAGAAGGAAGCAGACAGGTGGTAATCGGTGGTTGATGACGAAGTTAAGTGGTGGTAACAAATTTTCTTCCAAACCAGAACGATGAAAGATCGAATAGAATGGTGATTGCCGGTGGAGCGTCTCTGTGGTTAAAGCAGATGAGATGAAGGTGGCAGTGAACACAAATCGATGGCGGTGGAGGTAGGTGGAAACAATCAGGCTCCAAATGGAGCCGCCTCCAAAATGGGCACTATAGATAAGAGTGCTCTCTGTTAATTGTTAAAGTTCCGACTTGAATCGGTGACAGTTTTCAGCAAGAGCAGTAGAAAGTTGGAAGCGGGCGAAGAGTTTTCAACAGACTCAGTGGAGGTGGGTGGGAAAAATCGAAACCGCCTCTATATAAAACGTCTGATGGCTGTTCGTCGGGTTCTTCTGCAGTGGTGGACATCGACACCGATGAGGAGATATCGACGAAGTTTGGGGAAGAGGAGCGGTAGCAGACGAATAGGAAGATGAGAGACAGAGAATAAGTCGGTGAAAAGGTAAGATGAAGCGGTGAATGGGACGTGGCAGAAAACGGTGAAGGGATTTGATGACGATGCGAATAAGGATGTAGAGCAGTCTATAGAAAAAAAAAAAAAGCGTATGTTCCAAGGACACATAGCAAGGCATTAACTACCCGACGAAGAAAATAGATGGATAGAATAAAAAAAAAAAAGAAAAAAAAATAACGATGGTCCAATAAGGTTAAGTTACTGTGCTATAAGGGAACTCAAAAGTAATATGTATATAAATATAAATATAAGACAAAACTTCAAAAATGGTCCCTGTGGTTTTCGAAAATATCAAGTTTAATCCCTAAGTTCAAAAAACCTCACAGATGGTCCCTGTGGTTTCAAAACTTTTAACATTTGGTCCTTCCGGCTCACTCCGTTAGCATTTCACCGTTAAGTAAGGGGCATTTTTGTCATTTCACTACCCAGTGACCATTTATGAGGTTTTCTATTACTTTTTAAAATAATAATAATAATAAATGAATAAAATTTAATATTCAAAGGGTCCCGCACCATCTCTCTCTCTCTCTCTCTCTCTCTCTCTCTCTCTCTCTTTCTGATTGACTGTCAAAGTCCTCCACCAGAAGAGCTATTTTCGGTAAATACAAGAGGGGCAGCAGCCCCGTTTTCTTTCTTCTTTTCCCATCATTCGAAGAAATCGCACCAGGGAGATCTAATCCCATCTTCGTGTTTTTTGCTCGATTCCTCTAATCCCATCTTAGGAACCTCTTGATCTTTCCTCAAACTGTTCTTTGTATTTGTTTGTATTGCTGGAGTGGGTTTTTCATCGGTAGTTTTCTGACCCACATTTGGTACATCAACAGGCTTTTGAGGCGTCGGCACCGACGCCGCTGCAACTGCCGGCGGGGTTTCTTGAACTGGTTTTGCTTCTGGAGTGATCAATTTGGGTTGCCTAACGAAGAGAATGTTTCCCTCGAACTTTGCACTGATTTTGTTGAGATAACAGTTTGCAGAAACTGGAAACTCTACACGAAATCGGCTCCATGTGTCTTGCCGGAGCTTTCTTTCACCGCTAATGATCAAATTCCTTTATCGGAGTTAAACCCTCAATTGTTCCTTAGCAAAACCTGCAAATATTTCCAAGAATTTGAAACAAAACATCAAAAAAACAAAGGAAATATAAAGAAAACGCATCAGGGAGATATACGAGAAGAGTATCAGAATCATCGCCGGAGATATACGAGAAGAGTATCAGAATCATGCCCTCTTGACTGTCGGAAAACCCCACCTCTGATGGAGATTTTGTCGATTAAAATTAAAGAAGAAGAAGAAGGGAGGCAACAACAGCAAGATCGGTGGCTGTTTAGCTAGCTTGTCATCGAGAAAGAAGAAAGAAACATGGCTGGAACATAGGGTAGCAGCCTTCGTTTTTCTGCTTGAGAGAGAGAGAGAGAGAGGGGGGGGGGGAGGGTGGGGCCCTTTAATTAAATAATTATATAATTTTTCTTTTTTTTTAAATAGAGAAAACCTCATAAATGGTCTCTGGGTATTGAAATGACGAAAATGCCCCTTACTTAACGGTAGAAAACTGACGGAGTTAGGCGGACGGACTAAATATTAAAAGTTTTGAAACCACAGGGACCATCTGTAAGGTTTTTTGAACTTAAGGATTAAACTTGATATTTTCGAAAACCAGAACCATTTTTTAAGTTTTGTTTAAATATAAATATAAATTAGGTAGAGGTAGCTGTTTAATAATGTCATATATATGATATTTTAGTGATTAACTCTATTATTACTTATTATTATTATAATTCTTGATAAATCAACATTTCTGGACGATTTTAATAAAAGATTATATTGTTATCAAATTTATTGTAAGATAAATTTCAGAATTAAATTTGAATTTGAATTTGGTTTTATATACAATCGAACTATTGAAGTAGTTGAAAAAACAAAGATCACGATGTTTCCCCATATTTGAACTTTCATCATCATGTATATACATAAAAAAACAAAAACTCAACATCCGTTCCGGTTACGCTCCGGCGCCGTCCATCTTAAATTTCAGGTTGTCTACAAAATGGATGCAAAAGTAGCTGCGAGGCTGTCCACCTCTTGCTAGAATCCTTCTGCAAACAACACTCTATGAAGCTCCGAAACTCGTCGGAAACTCCTTCCGGCAGGCTTGGTGGTTCCCCAAAACATATCGCACACATGAGCGTCGCCCAGTCAGGTTTCTGACCGGCCGGCAAGAACGGAAAATGACCCATGTAAAGCTCGAACATCGTCAACCCCAAGCTCCAGATATCGCCGGAGTAACCATTATAGTTGGCACCGTGAGTGTCGGGATCGAACCGTTCTGGGCTCATGTAGGCGCACGTGCCGACGTAGGAATTGCAGGCGTCGAGCGTCCTGCACATGATCTTGCTTACTCCAAAATCGGCAATCTTCACCTCCATGTTTTTGTTCACGAGAAGATTTGCTGGTTTGATATCTCTATGAATGATCTTGTGGGCATGGAGGTAGTTAAGTCCGTTGAGAATCTGACGCGCGATGTCGGCGAGTGACTTTTCCGTGAACGTTCCACTCCCACCGTTTTTCAGTAGCGAGTCTAGTGTCCCGGCGTCCATGTATTCCATCAGTATCGCAATATCCCCGTCAGGCTTCTCGAATATCTCATGACAGTGAACCACAAAAGGTGAATCCGTTCTTCGAAGAATTTCCATCTCCCTAAATATCTGCCGGCGCATCATCGGATCACTGTCGGCATGTACAACCTTGAGAGCGAAGACGTTAGACGTTTTCTTATGCACTACTTTGTAGACGGTGCCGCCGTTTCCGTGACCAAGAACTTGAACGGTTTCCAATTCGGCGACGGTGGTGGTTGTCGATTGTTGGGATGTGGTGGTGGGAGGGAGGGGTAGAGGGAAACGAGGGCGGCGCTCGGAGATTTCCTGCAACCGGAGGCCGAGTTTTGACTGGCGTCGTTCACGAACGAGGGCCATGTGATAAGAATAAGATGAGTGAGGTTATCGGGAGGCAAGTATTAGGCCATATATAAGTGGGACGTGATTAGCACGTGTTTGTTTGAATTGTATAGGATAAAGATCGAGGAAAGCATGCGGATGCGCACGTGGGACCCAAATAATTCACAGATACATCTGAACATACCCATTATAAAATATCAAAAAAATACGTGGATTTTGTTTTTATTCAGCATTTATGACATGTGTGCACTTGCCCAGTTGCCAGTTGCCAAAGTGGTTCACTTTACTTCATTTACAATCATGCCCCTAAACTATTTTGTCAATATGTTTTATTCGCCTGAAGTTTTTTTTTTTAATTTATTATTATTATTTTTTTGAAAATTTAGTGTTTGTTTATTGGGTGACATTGATGTTTGGGAAATTGAGTAATCTAACAATGTTTTAGTTTATTACTAAAAAAATAACTAGTTTTGTATAAGGAATTATTATTATTATTATTTTAATTTTTGGAATGGCTATTTTAGAACGTATCAAAACGGGCAAAACCCATCATGCTATATATGGGACCCATACCCAAACAATGGTAATAAACATTCCAGAAAGTGAAAATTTGAAGCTTTTGCTACCCGCATTTTAGACGGAGTTTTTTAAGCTTATCTACCATGGATTACACAAACCATGTGAGTTCTACTTTTTAATTTACTTGCATTTTACTTTACAAACAATTATATGTACTCCGGAATGCGTAGATCATTTCCGGAATACGAAGAACTAGTCTGGAATATCTAATTTTTGTATTTTTTTTTGACAAAACTGCAAATTTAGTTCTTGTGGTTTGCAAAAAAACTTTGGATAGGGTCCAAAAAGTTTCCAACTTGCATGGAAGGTCCAAAATCAAAACATTTCTGTGATTTTGGTCCAAAAAAACTTGAAAAGACGATTATGCCATTTTATTTTCTATTTTGTATTTTTTATAATTAATCAAATACTATTTTCATTAAAAAAAAATAAAGAAAAAAGAAAAAAAGTATCCCCTACCCCACCCCACCCATCGTTCTCTCTCTCTCTCTCTCACACACACACACACACACATTAAAGTTACAAAACTCTATGAAGAACAAAGGTTTTTTGGATATGTCATCAAGAATTGACACTAAAGACTCATGTGTCTCTATCTTTTTCTCCAGATTTTTGGGATGAATAACCACCTGCAAATCATCTTCATAAACATAACTTACACACACACATTAACAAAAAACCCAACTGAAAAAATAACCCAAATAAACCTTACATATCCATCTCCGATGGATATATATATATATATATATATATATTCAATTAGTCAAGTTCTCAGAAAACCCACTTCGATTGAGCACTTCCTTAAAATTTTGTTTGGGTTCTTCGTTTGAGAACCATGATCCGATGACCGGAGGTGGCAGACGAAACGTCTAAAAACAGATCTGTCTCGTTTCTGTTCCGATTATCGATTCCACCATTGTACATGAATTTGATTTGGAATCGACGGTATTACGATGTTTTTTTTGAAAACTGATTGTCACATGGATTGGTAATAGAAGAAGGGTTTTAGAGAGAGAAAGAGAGATGGGAGGAAATATTTTGGGATGAATGAGTTTTAATTTCTTCTTTGGTACTTGTCGTTGGTGTGTATAGTTTATATGCGATTTCATCCACAACTTTGAACCCTGCAATCTTGTTCCTCAGACGACTTTCAATGGATGATTGCAGTTACTTCTTCAGGTGAAAAAGCTTGGGGTGGGGATGTGCAAGAAATCGATACAGATATATATGTTTTATGGACTCAATCATGTTTATGAGATTGTTTCCAACCGATGTGGGTGCTTTGCGTTAGAATGTGAATGTGTGTGTCTGTGTGTTTAGGTTTCAATTTCTTTCTATGGCTTGATTTTGGATTTTGTTCATCAATTTAGGGATATCTTAAGAAGATGAAGTCCATGAGATTTGAGAAGACGAAGAGAGAGAGAGAGAGAGAGAGAGAGAGAGAGAGAGAGAGAGAGAGAGAGAGAGAGAGAACGGTGGGTGGGGCAGGGGATACTTTTTTTATTTTTTCTTTAGTTTTTAAATAAAATCATATTAGATTAATTATAAAAAATATAAAAAAAGAAATCAAAGGGCATAATCGTCCTTTCAAGTTTTTTTGGACCCAAATCACAGAAATGTTTTGATTTTGGACCTTCCATGCAAGTTGGAAACTTTTTGGACCCTATCCAAAGTTTTTTGCAAACCACAAGGACTAAATTTGTAGTTTTGTCTTTTTATTTATTTTTTTTAAATGTTTTAGACATATAATAACCATATAAATACCTTAAAATGTGTTTAGCCTCATTTTTTTAATGAGAGATAAATGTACATTATCCATTACAAGTGATTCCAGAATGGTAGTATCACTTCGGAATATGAAGAACGATGTACAGAATACGAAGATCAATTTCGGAATAATGTGTAACAACGTAAATTTCGAACCAGAATTTTCAAAATTTAAAACACATTTTTTTCTCAATTCAAACATCTCAAAAGTGTTATAGTATCAAATCATCCAACACATATCCCAAAAACTGTATATATAACAAATCCAGGATCCTCTCAAGACATGACTCAAATCTCTGACGTGTGTACAATCAAGCCGGCACCTTCCCGTAATCCTGAGAAGTACCTGAAACACATAACACATAACACGGTAAGCACAAAGCTTAGTGAGTTCCCCAAAATACCGCTCATATCTCATCAGCCTCTCATGGCTATACTCAGATAAGACCCTCTGGTCAAATGTGTCTCAATGGGACCCTCTGGTCCCACAACTCAGATGGACCCTCCGGTCCCTCAACTCAGTATCTCAATATAATACACAACATACATATCATAAAGACAAATAAGCAGGATATCTCAATACACAGTATATGCACGTAAGACCCTCCGGTCACACATAGATTACCACCCAAGGTAAGTATAATGAGAAGACTCACCTCGTAAGTAAGCTAAGTGAATGAATACTCTCGCACACGAATCACCAAGTCTAGCCTCCTCCTAAACACATAACATAATCGTATCCAATTAACTCTTTAAATTACAATTCTACTAAATCTCTCTCTCTCTCTCTCTCTCTCTTGAAGTGGAAGAGACCAATTTACTCCTTCCATGGTTTCCCAAAGACAGGGTTGACCAAACCCTAAGTCAACAGAAGTCAAACTCGAGTCAACAGTCCATGTTGACCCTACTCGTCGAGTGCACTCATGGGACTCGACGAGTCTGCTCGCCATCCACAGAAACACTCAAAAGTCTGGCTCAACTCGCCGAGTTGACCCGTCAACTCGCCGAGTTGCTACACGATCAACTCCATCGGGACAACCCCATCCGACTCGTCGAGTCGGCTTCTTGACTCGGCGAGTCCATTCAGACTCATCTCTCATTCAGTCGTTTTCAAGGCAGAGAACCTCCCCAAACTTTGGATCTACACTCTTAGGGCTCATCTATCACGTAAAGTCACAGACTTTACGTTCATACATGGCATTTTGAGCTTAAAATGCCAAAACACACCCCAAAAAGGGTTTATCACTCAAGATCACTATTATGGCTGGATAAAGCAGGGACTTTTGGACATCTAGGGACCTCACATGGTCCAGATCTGAAGTTCAACCCTCCCAATGAGCATGGAACACTCAAGGTCCTCATATTTGGGTGCAAAAACCCTAGATTCACAAAATCATGAAATCTATACAAAATAATGAGAAAGGTGTAAGCTTTGAACCTTTTCCAGAAGCTTTGAAGTGAAATAACCTCAGATCTAGCAACACCCTCTTGTCCCTTGGTTTGGAAATCTTCTCTCCTCTTCACAAAATGCACCAAACACTCACAATTAGCAAAGCACTCTCTCTCCGTAGGCTCAAAGGTCGTTTAGGGTTTGCTCTCAAGGAAGAGTAGCCGCAAATGAGGCTATAAGTGCCTTTAAATAGGTCCCAAACCCGGGGATCTAGGGTTTTTCATCCCAGCGCCTACTCGGCGAGTCTACTCTCGGACTCGTCGAGTAGATCATTAAACTCACATGGCCACACTCGCTTCTACTCAGCGAGTTATAGCACCAACTCGTCGAGTAGATCAATGAACCTCAAATACATAATTAAAATAATATACCTGGGAATCCGAATGTTACATAATGGTTCAGAACTACACTTCAGAATAAAAATTCAATATTTGTTTATATTTTTCTGATATTTTTAAATTAATTTTGATATTTATTTCCATTAAACCAATACCCTGTATTTGTCTGAAGATCAATTTGCATGGATGTTAAAAAACGTGGGTTTTGCGGACGAAGAAATTGTATTCTATTTAAAGGAGATTTTAGAATTTCGTCTGATAAAGTTAAAACCAAATTAAAATTTTGTTATAATATTTTGTATTTTTATGATAATATATTAAATTGATGTTGATTTTTTATAAAAGACAGCCGAGCATAGATCAACTAAACATGTGTCAATATTAAGCATATGCCAATATTTATTGAACACCAAAACATGAATAATCACATGTGATGTAACACCCAGAATCAGAAAGACCAAGAAAAAAAGGAAAGGCTCTAAGTCAAGAGTCAACTCGTCGAGTCCAAGGAGGAACTCGACGAGTCGGAGCGGGATCCGGGGCATAGAGTAAGTGACCGACTCGGCGAGTCGGCTAGTGGACTCGACGAGTCTGGTCTGGACGAGAAAAACCCTAATCCCGAGGGTTGTGCCCTATTTAAAGAACATTACATCCCTTCCCCAGCCTCTTTGCTACCCGTTTGAGATCCAGAAACCCTAAATCGTGAGTGAGAGTCCTTGGAAGCAATTTAGAGCTTGGATAAGTGGTTTTGTGAAGAGATCTTGAAGATCAAGACGCTTGGATCAAGGGGGTTTGCAGAGATTTGGATTAATCTTCAGTGGGAGGTCATCTTGGAGGTAATAAGCTGTTACCTTCACCCTTTTTGCATCTAGATCTATTCTTGA